TCACGTCCGCATCTTTTTACTTCATGGTAGTTATACTATGGGGTTTACTTACAAATATATGTATATATTAGAAAAAAAAAGAGGTTCACCGTGACAAAGATACGACAGATGGCGCATATTTGCATATCGTGTTTAAAATCCAATGGAGTCCCACTCTGACTACTCGGTGTTCCTGAGCTCAACTCCTCTTTTACACCTGTGACCGTAAAAAATGTCCACTGATCATCGAAACAAACTCATTCCCCTTTTCGAATAATTTATTACAAATACTTTGCTACAGCAGACATTCCAAAATTGTGCCCAAACCCTAGCCCAGCTTCGCCTTTTGAGAGCTTCGTGGAAAGTTTGATGCAACCCATATCGGCTTCGAACTCTACCTCGTTCTGCATACGCTGGAATTAGGAGTTTACCAGGAAAATTTTCCATGAGAATGGTAAAAGCTGGAATTGAGCGCTACATCACGGTGTGGTAAAGATTCTTCTAACAAACTCTTGGTCTTAAAGAAATATGCGCTATATATATAAAATAACAATTATGTGCATTTCAACAAAGTTGTACTCAGGTTCAATGCAGATTAAATAGGGATTTCGGTCACGAATGCGACACATGGTCATCGATACTAGTACTGACTTCCGCCTCTGACCGAATTGAATCATCGCGCCTCTGACTGTCTTCAGAGTCTCCTGTCTTCGTCTCTTCCACCCGATCTTGGTGTTCAATCTCGGGGTTATCTCGTTTGGTCAGCGTTGTTTCCATGGCAACCACCCTGAAGGGGCGGTCAGCGAACAGAGTCTCCGCCGCTTTCGACAAGCAACAAGGATCACCTGAGCCCGCAGACACCGGAACATCAGATCCAGCTGACAACCGACTATTCTCTTCGCTTGCGCATGTGTAGCTACTCAAGCCACCTAGGATAAGAGACAAGGTTTGTTTGGTCACTTCACTGTTACCGTTCTCCAGTGCTTTCTCTACATCACCTTCTCCAAAACCGTCGTCGCTGTTATTTTCGCTTTCAGTGTTGCAAATGAGCGGTGACCTGCTGTTGTTCGCTGTTGCCTGGGGACCGTTGTCAATTCCATCATGATCGCCACCAGCTTCGTTATCGTCGATTTCTCCCACACTGTCGCTGTCAGTTCCCTCACTTGTACTGTCGAAGTAGCTCGTAAGGTTTCTTGAGGGAGAAGGGGAGGGGAGAGGCGAGTCCTTCACTTCTGCACCATAGAAAATATAACGGCTAGGTGGCATAAAGATGAACCGGGGAGAATCTAGAAACGATAAGTTATGAAAAATAAAAATAAAAAAGTAATAAAAAAGCACAATAGGAGGGAGATTACATTACTCCCTGTTAACCTATACACTTTTAGCAGACAATCGATCCGGTTTTCTCACTGCTGCTATGTGTCAAAGTTGCATGAATCTTCCCCAGAAGACTACGCCATTATAGAGAGCTTAAAAAATATACCTTCTTCACATGATGTGTCGTTGTTTGTAGAATGTTTATTTTCTTCTCCAATAGCTGAAGCTCTCGGCTGCTCTCGGTTTGGCTCGTCACCAGTGTCACAACAGCCACTACTCTCACCAACAGTCACGTGACTATCTAGTCGATTGAGAGTACTTACACCTTCTCGCTCTTGCTTTTCATCGAGTTGTGTATCATCTTCACTGTTTGGTGCATTCTGCGGTGTCCAAAAAACAAAACCTTGTCTTAAAATGACAGCCTACGATCTGTTAAAAAAAAATAGGCTGCGAGTGCGTTGGATACAAGTTTAACGTTCTTTTTTCATGGCTCTGATTCGTTCGAACTTGAAATTAACGACGAGGAAAACTGTTTAAATTTTGTTGAGGACAGAAGGGGGCAAGGGAGAGGAACACTGTATAGAGGTCAGTTCCGGAAAATGGAATTGTTCCTTTTTTTAGTTATTCTTGAGCACGCAAACAAAAACGTTCAGACTCCTATCCACCATACCCCAGAAGATTTCTTCTCTCCCAACGAGTAACCTCCTTCTTCGGAACGTTCTTCATCTGAAGCCAACCCCTCTGACAAAAAACGCAATTTTTGCACAGAAGGAATCTCAGAATCATCTGACAAACTGTTCCAGGTCCCACCCAGCCGCTGACAAAGCTCGGAGATGATGACGTCACAGTCACCCAGTAACTCGACATCAAATGTCAAATGTCTGAGTGGCTCTCTGTTGATGAGCACCTGTGGAACCTCAGGTGGCACGTGACCTACAATGAGCAACGCCAAACAACATTATTAGTCACCGAAGAAGACGTCAATCTTAGTGGACATTTAACGTTAAAATTTATAACATCTCAACCCAAAGTTTCATCTCACAACTTTTTACCTTACGAAGATCTCTTGAAGGTGACAGTAAAGGACGGATAGATGGATAGATTGTGAAAATTCATCGCCAGATAACGCTTGTTATTCAAACGATTATGAGATAAATGCTACTACTGTGCTTTATTTTCAATAGTGTGCACTATTTTCAATATTTAAGAAATCAATGGGAAGTAATGTTGCTTTGCGAAATCAACTTGTCAGCGTCACGAACCAGAAACCGTCACAAACCAGCTAAAGCTTTATCACATACTTAACTGAACGTAGTTTAGAAAAAAGAAAAAAAAAAAAAAGACTGGTATTCCAAAACTCAATTCCCTTTTTTATGAACTTTTCGCTTATAGTATCTTCCGAATAAGTCACTGCACACACACCCGAGATAAGTTGCAATGAAGAAAAACTTACTTGGAATCAAAGCAACTGGGCGGACTTTTAAGGAAGATCCAATGACTATCAGAAGATCAACCTATAGCAGAACGGAATGATTATATACACAAGAAACAATCAACTTGACCCATTCAGGCCAGGTTTTCGAGTTTTCCCCGAGCTTCGCTCTCGGAAAAAATTAATGTTTGCTTCTAGGAACAGATAAAGTCCACGGACAAATATTCGAGCACATGTTTAAGGGAAAAGAAAGCTATTGTTTATGTATACGAGGGGCTAATTGGAGGATCTTAAAAATACACGGAGTACAATAACTCCACCCACTCATTGTTACAAGGTAGTTCATTCAATATTATGTCATTTTAAATCAAATGAGGTGGTATTTTGCACAAAAATCGACTATCCCTTTACATTACATTTAAATACCTTTTCTGAATCTTCTTCCAAGTTGCGATAAAACTCAGAGGGAAGACTCTCGCCGAAGAATACTATATCTGAAATACTCAAGTTAAGGAAATTAAATCAGTCAGTAATACTTTTTGACTCATTGCTTTTGAAACAAATATTTACTATGCACCTGCAGTTAATTCTTGTAAGGAGCATGCGTAGTGCAACAGCAAGGTTAAAAACACAAAAGGTAAAATTCAAACTTGCCCTAAGGCATTAAAAGTCACATCTTAATAAATATTAGGATCCTTTGCACAAATCTAATTTCAATTGTCCCAGATAGCATCAGTTCAGCTTTATTGAAAGCAAAGCATTGAACAAAACTTGGAACAAATCCATTGCTTGCTACTGATCTAATAAACAACTGTGCAAAAATGGGAGATGATGTCATCAATATCTTGGCTATTTAGAACATACTAAATGTTCCATTTTGGTCCATCCCAGAAGCAGTTTCATATGAATTTTACAAGTGAAGTACTTTTCAAAATTTCAACACACTTGTTTGATATAGTAATGTACATGGAAACTACTAATTAACGTGCAGATCGCACTGCATTGTCTCTGTCTGACAAGGTTTTTTTGAAATGTTCAAAGGATACCAGGTTTCATGATAGCAAAACAGCTTCCATCTTGAGGACATTTTGGGCAGAGAGGAATGACCTGAAAATCACATTAAAACTCTTTCATCCTGACTATGCTTAGTGGTAATGAAAATCATGAAAAACAAGACAGTAGTACACTCAACAATATTATACAATCTCTAGAGTGAAACAAGGGCGAACAAAACAAAGACTGTCAGTCTGACGAAAAAATTTATGCAACAGATTTTAACATTTTCGGATCCAGCCATTTGAATGTTGAGTGCAAGGCAAAAAAATATTCATTGGTTTCACTTGAGCTAACTTTGTGTAACATTTAGTCACTGTTAAAATGTCAAATTCAGATTGCTGTTTTTTTAGTACAGTTTGGAAATTATGACAAATGTAAGAGTATGAATTGGAAGACCTACAGGGTTCATTCAGTTACAGCCTGGTAGCAGGCCAATTTAGGAATGAATGAAAACAAAAGCTGTGTAAAAGAGTTACTTTTAATTTATAGAGGCAAAACCCAAGCAGCTGGGTTTGAATCATCCCGCACATTGCATCCAAAATCTCTTCATATAGGCTTCAGTCTGATCAACCACATTTTCAAAAGAAACCATTTAAGAAATTAATTTTCTCCTTTTGAACAGTATGTCATGCATTAGAAAACTCTGTCTGTTTACAAGAAATATCTTTAAGTCTTTCAACTAAACTATCAAAATGAACAAACCTGGTTAAAAATATCATCTCTTATGGCCTCACAAGAAACCTGGAACTTGCAGTTTGTACATGACGCAGTAGAAAATGACCCTGTAGTTACAGTGTGATTAATTACATTGTCTTCCAAAAATCACTGACAGAAGTATTAATAACAGAAAACCATAGTTCTCCAATTTTATGCATGGGAGTGGTAACGCTTACTCGTCTGATAGTTACGATGTAGACTGCTGGAGAGTAAATTGAAAGGCACTTAGATCTTTTATAGAGTCATTGTGTTGTGGTTTTGGAGACAAAAATGAACTCTGTGTGTATTTGGTCAACAATGAGTGCACAGGGCATGAGCATAATTATTATCAAATTGCTGAGGCATTGCCTTTTTGAAAGATCAGCATTCCATTCCTAGTGACTTTATGCTATGGAAATGGGGATAAGCTTGGACAGCCATGTAAATTAAGTCTCATATGCAGATCTTTTTCCATATTTCAGTCATATTGAATACTTTTACCCTTTACAGAACACAAATTACTGTATGCTGTCATGTACAAATAAGCACTCTATCCAGCATTTGCTTCTTACAAAAATATCTAACAATGTCAAACAAACCTCAAATTAATAAAGGCTGATAGTTTCTAAAGAAACTGTTTGGGGCTGCGTCGGTGAGGGTAACGAAATAATTTGAATATATCAACAAAGTTGAAATGGTAAATTGGCCACCGTTACGATTATAAAAGCTGACATTTCGTGCGTTAGCCCTTCGTCGGAGCGAATAGAGGAATTGTGGGTTGTGGGTGCTTTTGAAGGCAGAAAATGGAGCTACGTTATTGGTGGGAACATGGCAATGAGAAAAACACGAATAAATTAGTGGTCAGGAATGAAAAGCATTCGTTGATACCTGTGGGATTTAGACTGCTGGTTTGAAAGATGAGCAGGTATCAACAAACGCTTTTCATTCCACTAATTTATTCATGTTTTTCTCGTTGCCATGCTCCCACCAATAACGTAGCTCCATTTTCTGCCTTGAAAAGCACACACAACCCACAATTCCTCTATTCGATCCAACAAAAGGCTAACGCTCGAAACGTCAGCTTTTATAATCGTAACAGTGGCCAATTTACCTTTTCAACTTTGTTGATATACTCAAATCAATAAGACTTCAATGTGGAAGGAAATCTACCCTAAATGTGAATTCAATGTTCAAAAGGTTGAAAAAGGACTAAAAAATTGTTACACATGTTACTTTTTATTTCTTCTTATCTCATTTTTAAAAGTTTTACCCTGCCTTCCCAATCATACTCTCAAAACTAACCATGGCATTGTATGACCCTTGATATACCAGCAATCTGTTCCAAAGTGTCAATATTCTGGGAATAATTCTTCAAAAGTTGGCCCTTCAGTTCTAGCTGCCTTATGAATCTGTGACTAAGGGATGGCTCAAACTGTCCTGGATATATTTCCTAAGGTAAAATAATGTATCAACAGTTAGAAGAAACAAATAGAGAAATACAAGACTTGTGGCAGTTTCCTATAAAACACAATCCTCCACACATTGTACATTGTTCAAATGTTGACCTTAAATGAAAATTTGTCAAGTATTACGATGATAACTATCCATATCATTTCAGAAAAGTGGGTTGTGATTGCAATAAAACACAAGTAGAAACTGATTTATACAATCATGTATAAATGCCATTGGTTTTTTAAAATAATTATCATCTTGCAGTGAAAAGAATTTCTGTGTCTTAAAAATGAAGGACTAAAATTAATTTTTAGAAGATAATGTGGTTTGGTTTAATTGAATAGCACAAGGTTTGTAACTATAATTTTCACAGCAAGGAGAAAGTGAAACATACAAAAGAAAATAATTTGGGTAGAGCAGGAAACTGCAGCAGTTAGGAGCTTAACATAGTGATATACATCAAAGCATAAGGAAATTCACAATTTTCCCTTCAAATCAGGTCCTAGACAATGAACCAATTTTCCAATCAGAAACTTTCATTTGCCTTAATTCACAAGAAGCAAACATGGATTTATCAATGGGACTGTTAGGCTGTGATACAAGTCTTAGGATTATATTACATTTGAACAGAGTGTAGAGGGAACCAGAGAGACTCCCGATGGCATGCATCCATCCTTACTTACAGTATGAGCCTTTAGATCACAGACACTGACCAGGAAAAACTCTCATCCAATAAGAAATGAGAAGACTGACCTTATTATACTGTTTGTTACAAAGTACATTTACACGCAACTTACTTTTGCAAACTTGTAAAATGGCCGTGGATTCTGACAGAAGTACGAAATGTCAAACATTGCTTGAGGGTCTGGAAGGTCAGGATATTCAACACTTAATTTAGCATAGATGCCATCACGAGAGCGAAAGTCTGGAATGCCACAGGACACAGATACCTGAAATGTAAACATATGACATACCACATTCATCATAATATTCTCATCAAAAGACTGAAAATTGAGCAAAAACAATTACTGTGACTGGATTTCATGATAATAAAAACAAACGAACTGCAAACTATATGAAAAAACATTTAAAGTTTGTGCAAAAGGAGACGACCCTGTGAAAGTGTGATATCAACTAAACCAATTTACACTATTTTGCAACTTAGGGTATCTCAGGGTGTTGTGGTAGAAATAAACAGGTACAGCCAATGGTTAACCTTTTGATTCTCTTGAGAGAGTAAATTTAAATAATTTGCAATAAAGTGGCACAACATGGCTATTCTACAGACAGTTCCCAAATTAATGTACATGGTAACTCAACTGGTCATTGATTCTAAATCCTATTTCATCTCTAACTACATACAATAATTGACTGAAAATTGCTTTTGAACACAGGTATAAGAATTAAAAAATTATATACTGGTAAGAGGAATGTACTCTGCTGAATGAAATGCCACATACCCCAGCTCCAGTTAAAACAACTATGTTCTTTGATCCTTTGAGAAGTTCCACAACATCATCAAGAGTGTTAATATGGTCAAGCTTTTGTCTTGGAGAGGGCTCAGTAAGAATGTCAACAATAATCTTCCATAAAGTTGCTTTATCTAGGTTGGGAGGCTGAGAAGAAGAAAATATTATTGAAAACAATTTATGTTCATGCTTGTCAAAAAGAATAAGAATCCAATTTTTTTGTCTTGTTTCATACACTTTTGTCTCCGTTAGTACACACATTTAATGAGTTCTAATTGACTGAGTTCGTGTAATTTACATACATTTCACACTCACATGCATGCACTTTTATTAACATGCAGGAGCATGTGTGATGTGCAGTATCATGAGTGTTTCACTCATGCCGATTTGCACTAGGGTCTAGCTCATGTAATGCTGTGGTAGATGTGAGCAGTAATGTATTGTAAACAATTAGACAGAGCAAGAGTAAGAGTATAACTGGTCCTTGCCTGAAGACTTGTAGTTTTTCAAACAAGGATCATGAAATTATACATGTAGTGTCTTGTAGAGTTTATGTAACCCTTAAAAGCAACCTCTTCAGGAATGCCAATAAAAGTTTCCTCAACAGCCTTCTCATGAATGCCAATAAAAGTTTCCTTGACAGCCTTCTCATGATGAACACTTACATTTTTTTGTTTCTGTTTTACCGTCAAGGTACATGTACATGTGGGAACAAGCAGAAATCTCCGTAAGCCCCGGCAACCAGCGAAAATCACCCGCTAGTTGTCTTGGGCGCGCCAGCTACTCAGATCCAAATAACAAAAAAAAAAATACTTTGTTTTGCATCCAATGGCAACTTTTTCCATTTGCGACGCCTACTTCCCTTTGGGTTAATTATTATATTTCGAAATAAATAAAGTTTTCCTTAAAGAGCCAAGTGTCCACAAATGTTTTTGACTGAATAAACTTGAAAGTTTCGTCAAGAATTTCACCACACCATCGCTTGAATCTGGTGGCAGACATCGCTTGAACGTTCAAACGTTTAGCAAGCGAAACAGGCTCAGATTGCGAGGTAGAGGTTACCAACAAAAAGCAATCTACATATATAAGACAACTTACTCTGTGTACACACACCAAAATGCACTTCTCCTAGCTTTTCCCTCCTCCCATATCCTTCCCCCTCTCGCACCAGAGGCGCATGGAAGGCACTTGCGCCCCGTTATAAATTCCTGTGCCGGCTACTCCATTTATTCTCCTCCTACTCCAAATTTTTGGGAGAACCCTGAACATGCCATTAACATTTCTTACTAGAGAAGGGAGGATGACAAAATTGGTACAATTTTGGGTGTTTTTCATATTATAGAGTACTTTATGAAACACACACAAAAAAAGGTCCCTACATAAATTTCTGCCAAATAGTTATCTTATGTACAAGTTGAGTAGCTTTACCAGTTGAGAGTGGGGAATCATGTAAGCAAGAATATCCTCTGGATTAACATCATGACTCATCTGCTGTTCAATCCATCCCATGGGACCTAATGTAACAAATACCAGGGAAGATAATTGTTAGGAAAGACTAAATATGAACCTGAACCCTTTAACTCTCAAGATCTAATTAGTAATTCTCCTAACTGATGGCCATACATTTCCTTGTAAACAAGAAAAGAGAATTTCAAAAAAAGATCATGATTTTATCTTTTACCTTGCCTGTTCTCAAAACCTGCGCACAAAATAACATAATTATTTGAATCACAAAGAGAAGTTACAAGGTAAACACTTCTGGGCATTAAAAAGGGTTAATACACATACAGGTACAAATTGTTAAATGAGGTTCAGGCTAAAAACTGTTATACAAGCAAGTTATCGTCACAAGCGTAAATTTGTAACTCAGCTTTCGCTGAAGCGGTAAATCAAATGCCACAGATAAGTTGTCACACCAATCTGAGTTACATAAATGTTATCAATACATACAACTTCATTTGTTAAGACATAGTAATTGAAGTCAGCCAAAGGCAGATGTGGACCTGCCTAGCTTAGCGCAGTAAGATCTGACGGCACTTAAATGTAACTAAGATGTGTATATAAAAAGATCAACACCTTAATAAGTTAATAAATATAAATCAGTCAAGGAACTTTAGTGTGTGTATTACCATGGTGACCAGGCCTCATCATAAAATTAAAAATAATGAAACTTTTTCTTCTTGTTTGTAATCAGACAGGAATCCTTGTCAAAGCTAGAATTATCTAAGAATGCCAGGACCTGGCACTCCCGCAGACACTTTAATTGGTGTGAAAATTTGCTGTTTTCACAAGGGAAGGGACAGAGGTTGAAGAAAATTTGATAACTGCTACAACTAAGGGTCCCGGTTTCCCAATAGCTCCCAAAGTAGCACAGTTTTTTGAAGAAAAATAAGTTTTGGTGTAAGAAGTAAAATTCGAAAGCGACCATTTGAAAATGACGAACAAAAACAAAATGGCGGATACGAAAACGTATTGATGTAATGTTTCGCGGGTATTTAAGAGAAAAAGAATTACAGTTACCGGCTACTGGTCGATAATGGTGTTCATCAATATCATCTACGCTGTCTTCTACGCTGAAACAAGTCGGAAAGTCGTCACTTTGACGTCTTTCTTGTACGCCGTTGCCGACATGATGTTCACGTGACGTAGATGGCTTTTTCGAGTTTTCACCTTCTCCAGTTGCCTTGAGCTGCCAGCTGAAATCTATTTCAGGTTCAATATTATCTTTATCATCACTATAGCTAATATTTTGAGAAAGAGAAGCGTCAGATGACAAACGAACTCGCTTTGTGTTGGTGTAATCGTCCCATTCGTCTCGATCCGCCATCTTGGATTCTGGCTAGTCTCAGGCTCCTTACATACCACTCGTGCATGATTCTCGTGCATTCCGTGCAGTTTTGCATTAAATATTTTTGACTGCTCGACCCAGTGCTTCGCGTCGAGATCGTGAAAGAAGCGGGAAATCACTTGATCCACCTGAAATATTTTCTACAGCACTGGAGGACAGTGATGACAACTTTTTGAGCAAAGTCATTTGCTAACGGGTTGGATCGGTAGAATAATGGCTGAATATCGAAAGCATACAGACCAAAAGAAAGTCACTTTTGAAAGGGTCCTTCCTCTGTTCATGAAAAAAGATCTGATTAATTAGGGCATATTAACCTCGTGAAGCCATGCACAACCAGCATCTCCATCATGTCCATATCTCACCTGTAGATTGGGCACATGGCCGCATTGAATTCATGAACACTGTAGATTGTTGCTTTCATTTCATTTTGCTCAAATTTTGTCTATTGATTTAGGAGAAGAATGAAGGTATGTGAAGAGGCTAATTCCTGGCAGTGAGGTGGAATATAACTGTGTGTGTTATTCTTTTTTAGGGGGGGGGGGGGACCAAAAAATCATAAATTGAGATGACTAATTCTCATTTAGTTCCTAATGTGCAGCTCAACAGTGCAGGGTTTTGAATCATAAGAAGGTTACACTATTTCACACTGTTATAGTCAAGAGTGTTGATGACAGTGCATGTACAACATGAGAACTGAACAAAAATAAAAGCAACAAAAGAATAAGTAAAAGAACAAAAGTAAGGCTTCCTGATATGTGATTCACCAAGGTTCATTGCAGACCACAAAGGTATTGTTATATCACCTACTAACAACAGATAATCCAGTGATATGGTAGGTGCCAAAAAGAAAGTCCAGTAATTGCATAACCATAACAGAGTTATTGCAACTGCAGAGAGCTTTATTATTAAAATAAACGTAACAGGAGAGACATAAAATTATTTAATATCAGTTACAGGCTACACTACAGCCAACTAATACTGAAACAGAGAGGATTTACAATAAAAAACTTCGATAGTAAAAAATGTAGGTTAAGACATTTTCAGTACAACAGACAAGCACCTAATTCCTCCTTAGTACTGGTAATCACAAATATACGCATTCACAAGTAGNAGATGACTAATTCTCATTTAGTTCCTAATGTGCAGCTCAACAGTGCAGGGTTTTGAATCATAAGAAGGTTACACTATTTCACACTGTTATAGTCAAGAGTGTTGATGACAGTGCATGTACAACATGAGAACTGAACAAAAATAAAAGCAACAAAAGAATAAGTAAAAGAACAAAAGTAAGGCTTCCTGATATGTGATTCACCAAGGTTCATTGCAGACCACAAAGGTATTGTTATATCACCTACTAACAACAGATAATCCAGTGATATGGTAGGTGTCAAAAAGAAAGTCCAGTAATTGCATAACCATAACAGAGTTATTGCAACTGCAGAGAGCTTTATTATTAAAATAAACGTAACAGGAGAGACATAAAATTATTTAATATCAGTTACAGGCTACACTACAGCCAACTAATACTGAAACAGAGAGGATTTACAATAAAAAACTTCGATAGTAAAAAATGTAGGTTAAGACATTTTCAGTACAACAGACAAGCACCTAATTCCTCCTTAGTACTGGTAATCACAAATATACGCATTCACAAGTAGCCGCCTAGTGGCTTGTCAGTCTATTTTCCGAGGAGAATTTAGGTGTTGAAAGCAGTTTGCCTGAAAATGCCCAAAATGCTGCAAATGTAAATTATGTACAAATGAAAAAGGACTCAACTCAGAAAAAAAAATTCACTACAAACAAAAGAAATAATTTAGCCATATCAATATTCAGAGCAGTACAGTGACATTTGAAACCATTTCAAAAATTCAACACAAAGACAAATGGGCACTGCACACTTAAACTGACTCCAGTACTGAACATCTCTATACTCTGTTCAAAAAATCACTATATTTAAAAAGTGTGATCAAGGAGCCACCAACCCAGGTAACTTGTGAGCTAGGATCACAAATAAAGTTGTCCTGTCTTAAGGAAAATTTTTTAAACTTCTATGGCAAGAAGGTGGGGGAGGGAAAACTGTGATCAAGGAGCCACCAACCCAGGTAACTTGTGAGCTAGGATCACAAATAAAGTTGTCCTGTCTTGAGTAAAATTTTTTATACTTCTATGGCAAGAAGGTGGGGGAGGGAAAACTGCTATCACAACAAATCTTAGTGTGGGAATGAAACTGGGGATAATCTCAACCCTCACCACTAGTAGGAGTATTTTGTTCTTGCTCTTGCCACCTCATAACCTAAGTTGGCAGTTACATGATCCAGCATGATGGTCAAATTACTTTGCAGAAATTCAGTGCATGAGGCTTTGTTCATGGTTCAGCAAACAAACACATGTAAACAATTAATTATTTGTACATAATATGGCAACAAGGGTTGATGAGTGTGCCATTAATAGCCTCAGAAAGCCATTAATAACACTAGCAACCAAGCTTACAATTTTGACAAAATGTAACCAAAAACAACTATGCATGTATTAGAAATAACATTCTTGTACAACTGACCAAGATATGGTAAACATAAGTTTAAAATTCACAATTGTATATATTTTTTTAATACACCTCCCACAATATTTACTTGATGCCCACAATTCAAACTCTGGCACTGTCACTGTACAAATGTCTACCTAGTGTAGTTTTAAAAGACTTAACTGCTATGATTGATATCCATTAATTTTTTTTTTTTTTAAGTCAAAGCTTCACTGTAATCACAGGTTGCTACTACGGTAACCATAATTATTTGAGGATACCCAACTAAGTTGCGATGAACAGAGACATCACCCATGACATGAGATCAATGTACAAATGGTAAAGTACACTATAAAGTACTTACAATAACTTACAGATAAACAAGGAAAATCCATATTGATAAAGGTAAGCAGTTTCAAGACAAAAGCAAGACTTTACTTTGAGCACAAAACAGATGGATAGGCAGAAACAAGAATCCACCAAAGTTCACATGGCATACTTCCGAGTCCACTCCTTAGCCACAGTTTCATATTTAGCTTTGTCTGTTTTGTATATACGTGCTATATCTGGCACTAATGGATCATCTGGATTTGGATCCGTGAGCAACGAACATATCGACAAAAGAACTGCAACAAAAAAGAAATATCCTGTGACTGGCATTTCTTTACATGCACTTTGCATTTGCACTTTCATGCAATTCTTTGCCACAGAATGTTAATGCTTCAAGCAACAATCACTGCAGTCACTAAAATTACCACAAATTTAAACTTTTACACCCTAACATCAGTATGCATATATATTCTCCATACTGTTCACTAGACATTTCCTTCAGAGAATTTGTTTAACAATTAAGGATTTCTTTAGTTGATCATTTCCTCTATTCTGGTGACCTTAACATTTGATTCAGGTGCGATATTGTAAGGAGAAATTAGATGCTTATCACTCTTAGGGGTTGGAGCCAGTTAGTGTTTCTGTCTCTTTTCCACACAAGAGATGTATATACCCATGAGAAAATCTACAAACTCTAATTCATGTAACATTATTGGTTGTGTGAGAATTAAAGCTTGATTTGTCACATAAACCCCAATTTGAGGGTGACAATTTAAAAGGTCATTCTAGTCATTTCAAAGACAAAATCTAACCGTGTGGTCATCAGTTTAACCCATCATACATTATAACACAAAGAAATCGTTTGTTAAAGTGACCAAAAATCTACCTGTGCCTTTTGGTCAGGATTGCCAAAAGGCAACTTTGAGAAAATTTAGTATGCTCAATGAATTATAAAAAAAAAAACAAACAAACAAACAAACTATTGTCAAGCAATCCAAGAAGACTATCACAATTCTGCATAGATCAAGTTAATGTTTTTCAATAGGCCTTTAATTAATCTTACCCTTAGAAATTGTTAGGGCTGGACTCCACTGTGATCGTAAGATATCAAGACAAATATTGCCATTGCTGTTTATGTTTGGGTGATATATTCTTGTCGTAAATGATACCTGTTAAATGATGAAAGATACAAAAGAAAACAAATTGCTAAGAATACACAAGGGAATAGCTCTCATTTCTCTACAAAGTACATCCATTTTGAAATCACTAGTTATCCCTACCATCTAATTGAACCTCAGCAGAACAATTGAACGATCTAATCACCAATTACGTAAATTTTTGCTCTAAATGCCACCTTTTCCTCTGTCATGCAATTCTAGGATGGAGCTCCACAACAAAACAACCAATCTGACTTCATATTTAAGCTGTGAAATAAAATTCAAAAATTGCACAATTTTCTTTCTTTTCAATAAAAGTTTCGCACAAACAAAATCAAGTCATCAAAATGATAGATTTCAAAATGAATATAATTAAGAGGTCAATGAACTTTGTGTCAGGCAATTTTGATCTTAAATCATTCTCTCTAGTCCCCCAAGTGTGCAGAAACTTTTGAACATATGTCAAAAAAGAGGGAACTAACTCGGTAATTAAAACTGATGATAAGCGACTGAAAGATCCAAAGGAGGTTGTAAGTGGGATAGTAAGCCCTAAATTGAGTGGGCAACCAAGGGACTCTTGCTAGTGTTGCCTAAATACAGTGTGTTGGCTTCAAGTGCAACTGACCCCTAAATTTTTTTTCATTTAAAAAAATCTTCCTGCTTTGGTGAGTATCTCTTCGAAAAAATTTTTGGATTTGGTCAAATCCTTGAATTTTTGTGCACGGTTGAGGCACAGAGAATCGCATTAAAATCACCGCCATTTTGACTCACGACCGCGTTTCAAGGATCAAGAGTCTGGTGACTAATGTGACGTCACTTCGAGAACCCAACAATCTGTATTTCGGGTCATTTTGCACAGTTCACTGGTTATGTTTGGAAGGTTAGATCAATATTGGTTGCAAATATGCCGCAGAATGAATCTAGTGCTAGAAAGGCTTTCACAGGCCGACGACTGGCTGAGAATTCCTTGAGCATCTTCTCGAAGTGACGTCACAAGTCTACTCTGCCCAGATCCGCATTTACGCAGTCGTGGTCCATTCAGATCTTGACTTCAACAGGGCATAAAAAAATGAGGGTTTAACCAAATCCAACAATTTTTTCAAAGAAATACTCACCAAAGCAGGAAGATTTTTTTAAGTGAAAAAAAAAAAATTTAGGGGTCAGGTGCACTTTAATCAGGGCTTGACACTAACGGTAGCCAACTAGCCACAGACTAGTAGAAATTCAGTTATGGCTATACTGGTTTTCAATTTTCACTATCCAGTTTGGCTAGTAAAGAAACTGAAATTGTTGTAACATCTAAGTTGTCACAAGCCACTTGGCTATTAAGTTGAAAAGTTAGTGTCGAGCCCTTTTAATACAGGTCTAGTAAACTATAGAGTAGTTACTACTCAAAAAAAAAAAAAAAAAAAAAACCGAGGGAAAAACACTATTGAATCTGATTGTTTCATAAGACAGAAACATCATAATCATGAGAATAAACCTTTAAAAGCTCTCTAACTTTATCATTAACTGTATTAAATAAAAATCAAATATCAAATCTTTCATCGAGCAGTGTCTGCTAAACACAGGTTTCAGAAAAGAAAAGCACATACCCCTGGCGCCTGCAGCCACCTGTTAGAGGTTTACACAGAACTGAGGTCTATTTTACCGAAAATGTGGCACGAAAAATTTTGGAAAAAAATTGAGTTCACGTCTGCTCAAGAAAGTGTGGTCCTTGTACTGTTCTTTCAAATTTCATACCCTGCTGAACCATAATATAGTTTATTCAGTCCCTGATGTAATATAAATATCACGGTGCTGCATAGCCATGTCAATCAAATGATGTATTGACCTAAAACAGACCACTGATGTAGATCGAGATCTGGAAACTTAAGAGGAAGGTTGTGTTCTTCAGCAAGGCGTACGAAACGATCGATTGAACACACCGATGTAATGAAAACATCTGCACACAAGGGGTCATTTCTTTTAAACAAACTGGTGTTAGAAAGCGAGCCGATGTTTTCAAAAGCTTGTTTGAGTGAAACTTGCATGCGATCGACTTGCACGTCATTACAGCACTAATAGTCCATTGTTCGACTTCCAATAATGCTTTAAAAAATTATGACCGTCAAGCTTAAGCTTCTTAAAATTTAGAAGGAGTCAACTCAAACAACAAAATACTCCACAATGAAATTCACCGGAAGAGAGGGGTGGATGGGGCAAAATCGATCGAAAACCTTGCTACGTACTAAGCTTTCTCCTTCTGCTCGAAAAAAAAAATCCACTTCTCTTCACGATATCTTAGATTGGTTTTAAAAAAAAGTTATGTTATAAATAGATAAGTTGAGATGTTTATATCAAAAACTTCAATTTTACCTACCTTCGGTGGTTTAAAAGGATAATCTGTTGGAAAATGTATCGTAAGGAAGAACACTCCACCTTGGTATGGGCTATCAGGCTGTTCACATAGAAACGACAAATAGAACAACAACTTTACAAGGGTCTTAAGAAATGTTTCTCATCGAATCGACCTATAAGACAGCAAAGATTCAAAAGAAATCAAAGCTCCTTACCGGCCCCATTATCGTCGCTTGCCAGTGAAATACTTCATTCGTATACACCAAGTCAAAAATGTACAAAGAGAGAGAACAATGTTAACGTTACAAACAGACTGACACCACTGAAATAGAGTTAACTAAACAGTGCGCATAATCTTTAAAATGCTAGCTTTAGAGAATGAAAAGTCTTTGAGCCAGAAAATTCTTCGAAGTCAGCGAAACACAACAAATTTTGTCGTGTGAAACATATTTCACTTACGATCATCTCCAACTGGTCCTGCGGAACATTGTGCTGGCGGGTCACGTCCTAAATCTTGTAATTCCTGAGAAATAACAGTGAAACTCGACATAAATTCCAGCTCAACCGAACAACTAGGTGGGCCGGACACTGTTCAACCTAAACTTTAACACTCTTGGCAACCAACGTGAATCAGCCATACAGTTTTCATGAGCGACCGAAAGGGTACACCGTAACCATCGGAGTTAAACGTTTACTTTCAACTATTCTTTGGCAAGAAAACGCCAATATAAAAACGTTAAAACTTACTTTGTTTATCCTTTTTAACGCCATTTTCTATAAACCCTATTATTGTTGAAGTCTCGAGGAAATTACAAAATATTACTAGTATGGTAAGATCGCTAACTTCCTGTTAATGGAGGCTACCACGAAACGTGTGAGCTGTTTTCCTCTTCATCCATTGGTTGAAAGACAGTTACGTTCACAGAGAGGAACCGGGCTAGTTCCAGTTCTCTGGTGGGTGTTGTTTCTCGAGAGGGGCACGAGATTTCCGTCCAGTCTAAGGTCCCCAACTGACTACTTTGCATATGCTCTGCGAATGATCTTAGTAATTTTATGCGAATTTTCCGTAGATTATATGGTTAGGATAGCTGGCAGTATAAGCTGTCGCAAATGACTCAATTAGCTCACTTGCACTTCAGCAGTTTGGTCTGAGAGAAAGCCTGAGAGTTTGGTACATGATGAGACAAACAAGAGACTAATTCTAGGGGATGTGAAATGCATGAAAGGAGATTTTATCTATATTTGTTGGCTTTATCTACTTTAATAGGAAAATAGCAGAAAGGGTGACTTCCGAGATTACATCCTCTTAGCCATTGTACATGCAGCCTGCACTAATTTGCATGGGGTAGGAAGAGGCAGTCTAAGTAGATAGTACAAGTTCACAAATTCACACGCAAATTGCTCCAAAGTTGGGGGAAGGGGTGGCATATATAAGGCATTTCAGTTATTTTGTCTACTCCATCCTCAGGATTTATCTCAGTCTGGGTTCAATTCTTTTTTGTCAGCCGGGAGGGATTTCTATTTTTTGCTGTGCATTTCTTCTGCTCAGAGCTAAGGATAATTTCCTGTGTTTAACAAATTGAAATTTGCTCCTCCCACCCACTATACTTCTCCCTGCACAAAACTTTGGATTATATCAAGATAACACCCTTAAAATGATAAATGCCTTTCCCATAATTTTTTTAGGGGGGCTCAAAGACTAAACTTTAATGAGAAGAACAGATAGAGAAGTTGTTTTGGATCACGTTTAGGTAAGAAAGAGTTTGCTTAAACTTTGTTCTCAACAAAAATATGAAAAAAAATTTAAAGCCCATGGGATGAGTGTTATTGAGGTCAATTTAAGCCACTCTATCTCTTTTAAAGATAATGTATCCATAAACAAATATTGGTCATCTTATTTGTTTCCCTTCTTCAATACTTCTACACAAGTTCATGGAGTGTACACTCTGAGATACTGAACAGGATGTAAGATGCTGACGCAAATCACATTCAAAAATCAATCACTTAATTATCTGTTTATTCACCACTTCCAAAGGGAACAAAAAGACAACAAATGCAAAGGTTTGGAGGTGTTGCAGTAGCTACAATCAAAATCATTAGCTGTAACTTAACCTAGGACCATAGGATAAGGATTTAATGTTCTTTTCCTGAAGATGGTTTGGAATTTAGTCACTAAAACCTAAACAATATCACTTCCAACTAAAGCCAGGTGGACACTGGATTTTCAGTATGCAATACAAAATAATAATATACCAATAAGCAACTTGACAGTACCAATACAGGTGTACTGAGAATACTTTTAAGTCCAGGCCTTAGGAAAACATAGCACAAATATAGAGTCAAATACGGTTAATGTACCTGCTTAAATTTGGGCTGAAAGTGCTCACAACAATTTGTATGTACAATGACACAAGTAACACATGCACAAAATGTACAAAAACAGTTGCTACACTGATTCAGAACAATGTAATTTATTAAAATCTGAATCTGCTACACAAAACATTAACTTGATTTACAAATATACATACATACTTGCAAACTCCTGTTTATGGCATTCTCTACATTTGTTGCATCATGACTGACAGTATATACCTTACATGGCAAAGACACATCACTGGTTAATCACTTGACATTTCTAGAGAAAGTGCTGTAGGACATAACATATATTGCACATCACAACAATACAACTTTGCAACAGCAGAGTCTTTATGAAGTCATCATTGGGCAAACTTCCTTGTCCATTCTTTTGCTGTTTCATTATATTTCACTTTGTCTGTTTTATAGGTTCGTGCTATTTCTGGCACCAAAGGATCATCAGGATTTGGATCAGTAAGCAAGGAACAAATTGACAGAAGTACTAAAAAGAAAAAAGAAGAAATTAAACATGTCAGTTAATATTTCCCCACATGAATGACTGAGCAGCTAATAAAACCAGCAAAAGTACACTGTTCTTAAGGGCTAAATACACGAGTTGACTTAGACTAGGTTAACATTAGAGGAGAGTTTTCCGGATTGGTAAATGTTTCCAGATTCATCAATTTTGGAGTATTCGGATTTGTAGGCGTTTACAATAAAAGGATAATCGGATTCCTGACCGTTTACACACAACGACAACTCCGGAACATTTGAAATGGAATGGTTACCAAGCCAAGTGTTGTTTCGTCATTCGATTCACAAAGTGAAAATGCCTCCCCAAAAAAAGGCTATCTAGAGTAGATCCAGATGCCACTGAGGCAAATTTGAGTTGGACAGATGCCAAGCCATCTACATCGTCGGCGATTAAGTGTGGCTGACATTAAACTTGCTTGCAATAATAATTTGCTTTTCCTCAGAAATAATGCAGTACACATGATAAAATTTATCACCTGAACCTGCAACAAAATTAAGCAACCAGAGACCACCAGCAAAGTTAGCACCAGATCCTCCATTTTGGTTTCACCGCTAACTCAAAAGATTGCAGGCGGAAATAAAATCCGGATTCAAGAAAAAAAGCGGTTACACAACAAAACTTTCAGGATTCAAAGTTCACACTTTAAATTCTGCATTCAAAATCTCCGTAGACATGACCAAACCGGGGAGTTTTTATTTCGGATTCGTCCACTTTCGTGTAACCGGCAAAATCTATCCGGTACTAAAATGCTTCGGATTCATCACAAATCCAGAAAAATTTACTCTAGTGTAAACCTAGTCTTATAGTGAGGTATACTCCACAAAAGTATTCATGCATTTCATAATAAATCATGGAAAATAATTCAATTGAGATAAACAAAATCCTACAAGCATTTTGATTGTTTTTTCTTATGACCTACTGGAGGACAGATGCATTGAAGACATAACCATTCATAACAACTTTCTTTTCTTTTTTTTTTTTTATCAAGTAAAAGTAGGTTCCATGTTACCATAAGTACACACAGAAATAGATCACAGAAGATTTCAAAATGTGGTAAGAACATCAGTGACACAGTCAGCTGGGCCTTGCATGTCACTCTATGGTTCCTATCATGTTTTGATGTCATCTGTGATCTATACAGTAACTGAATAGACGTATGGTTACAAGGAAACTATCTGTTCAATTGATGACAACTGATTTTCCAGAAGTGTGTAAAACTACAAGTTTACAAGGAGCCTCTTAATCATCCATTACAACTGATTTTCCAGAAGTGCGTAAAACTACAAGTTTACAAGGAGCCTCTTAATCATCCATTACAACTGATTTTCCAGAAGTGTGTAAAACTACAAGTTTACAAGGAGCCTCTTCATGATCCATTACAACTGATTTCGTCAACACCTGAGCAGATTTTTTCAAAGCTGGGTCAAGATAACCAAAGGTTAAGTATGAAATCCGATTTCAGATTTCAAAGCTTTAAGAGAAAATTCAGTGCTATCCTTTTGTCAACTATTTGATGATTGGATGCCTTGTATCTAATAGAGAAAATTAAGAAACTCTGATAAAAGTTTAACCCTAGATTAACCTTAATCAGGCTTTAAACAACCCAGCCCTGGGCCCAGTTGTATAATGGGCAGATGATGCTACACAACATTAAATCACTATCCAACAAATAAGTGATGGCAAAATTTATAGTGTTATCCACCAGATGGAGTTTTATCCAGTGGACAGCATTATCCAACCTTCAAACAACCTAGGCCTGAAGTACAAATGTCCCTCTTGTTATTAACTATACAAAATGTTGTTGTTTCCCCATCTTGACTTTCTTTGACTTGCCTCATTACAAGCCTGTGCATATCACATTAAAATCATTGGGTACCTAATGAAAACTATCTCACCTTTAGAAATGGTTAGAGCTGGACTCCACTGGGATCGTAAGATATCAAGACAAATACTGCCGTTACTGTTTATGTTAGGATGATATATTTTTGTAGTAAATGATACCTGCAACATAAATAACATCAGTTAATAGCAGTATTGATACAACAGGCCTTGTTCATTCAAAAGGAGGACAACATTCACTATGAGAGAAATCCCCCAATATCCAATGGACCTTTGTAGTTTACTTTGATCAAACTAATCCACATAAATTGATTTATCCTGTGGCTGTTATCCACACTCTGCAATTCTTTTCCTGGTCCTGGAAAGTCAGGGTCTAAGCCAAACCATATCATTTTTTCACATTTTTCGTTCCTTTCATCATTGTCTGTATGACTAACCATTCAAATTGAAAGGATAATTTATGAACTTAAAATAATAAGGAGACTTGGCATAGTTTCTTTTGAAAATACAACAGTCTATTTCAAATATAGATAAACATCTCCAGTCTTTGATGGAGCAGCAGAAAAGTACATTTGAATTGTCAAAAAGTTCCTTGTGTGTTTTTTTATGTTACATAAAAAACAAAAAACCATGTGACAAATCAAAAAGTTATTAGACGTACTGCACAAGTACTTAAATATGAGATGATGTAAAGCAATTTACACCAGTCCTATAACTGTCTCTTGGAAGTCAAGATCCATGTTTTGGTTGGCATCAAGGTTTTTTTACCTATCACCTTTAACACTAAAAATGCTATTACCCCTACTGTTTTATGTAACACCCTGGGCAAACAATTTACTGTATTTCCTTTTTTGAGTTAGAGAACTTCTCACTACAACAATACAGACTTAAACAATACAGAAATTGCAAATTTCAGTCAAGAAAAGCTTAAAAAAGAAATTAATCAATGCTATAATTCAAGGAAATAAGTCTTTACATACAACAAGACAAATTTGACTTAATGAATTGGCAATGTAAGACATTATCAGGAGATTCCACATGTATTAAAAGAGTTAAAATCTTCATATCATTTCTTCAACATTCTCATTAAGAACTTGCATAGACAAGTTACATGACAATCTTATTGGACCTGACGAATGCCCTCATACAAATATTGGACAGTCAAATAATTAGAAAATCACAGAGACAAAGATATGTTGAATCTTAATTAATTAAATAATTAGTTATGAGAGTCTTCAAAGGTTCAAAAATTTAAATTCCTTTTTTTAAGACAGTTTAAATTTGATTTTGGTTCACTTTTCTACATGTAGTTTAGAGTGACTGTTTTTCATCTGGTCACCTCCTCAACTTGAAAGAGTAAAAGGGAAAATGAACACTCTTCTGAATAATGGGCTTAGCATGACATGCTTTACAGAAATGAACATTGTATAGAGATCATTCTGTCGTTACAACAGTCATCTCAAAGAGTACAACCATAACAACAGAAGAAAAACCTGACAATAATCCATGAGAAGGTTACAAACATCGCTCAGATGGAAGGCGATTTTAAAAAGATCCCGACTTGAGATCGGTGGAGGAGAAATTTCTTAGAACAACTTTGCCTAGTTTCTGATGTAGTCAGTAGTTTGACTTCTTCAGTAACAAAACGCTAAAGTTGAAGAGAACCCCTAAATTTCAGTCTTCTACAACAATGGCCATGAATTCACCACGTACAGAACAAAAAATACATTTCTTGGTTCTTTGCAAGCAATTGAAAACAGACTACTTTTTTCTAAATACAATAACCAAATCACCTACCTTTGGAGGTTTAAAAGGATAATCTGTTGGGAAATGTATCGTAAGGAAAAACACTCCACCTTGGTATGGGCTATCAGGCTGTTCGAAAAGAAACAGCAAACCACAAACCTTAGCACTACAATTCAGGAATGTTCTGTGAAGATTGACAACTGAAGGTATTTTAAAGACACCAAAGGTTTCATAGATATAATAATTCCTTACCGGACCCATTATAGTCGCTTGCCAATGAAACACTTCCGGATCACGCGATGACAGATTTGAATAAGAGAAAAATTATATTAGAACTTTATGAACTGGCGTTCAGACGTAGAACCCAAAGTTGAACCACTGAGATACCAAGTAGGGTAATTATATAATAAAGAATAGTGTGTGGCGTAAAGTTTGCTTTTGAAGTGATAAAATACTGTGACCTATTCTTCTTACAGTCATCTCCAACCGGCCCGGCAGAACACTGGGATGGTGGATCAGGTCCAAGATCTTGCAGTTCCTGAATTAACAGAAAAAAAAAGAATACAAACTAACGTTGATAATTCGATGTCCAGGTATTACTGTAAACAAAATTCCGCCAATGGCCATCACATGAACATAAAAAGACAAAAGTGCCGTGTGTACATTTTCATATCGCTTTTGCACCGACATCAATTCTAACATATTTTATCAAAATCAACTATATTTGAAATCCCTCGTTTCACATCACAGGTCATACAAACGAAGCCACTGCTTACTTTGTTGATCCTCTTTAGTGCCATTCCCCCGAATAACTATCACGATGTAAAATAGAATGGGAGCAGGCTAACGTCGTGTGCTGCGATGAACAATCGGCAAACTTCCTGTAAAATGGCGACTAAACTGCGAAGGTAAAAAATGTCGCAGTCTATTGGATAGTAGCTGTCACATGATCAAATCTTTAACTGCGCAGAGCCACTAGGCTAGTCCCATTCTCCTGTGGAGTGACGCGTCAGAAAAGAATTCAACCTCTGAATCACCCCGCCTATTATTTAGTGTTATTCCTAATCATAAAACGGGCGCTGCGTTATAGATTTCCAAAACTAGTCAGCCATTTCAAGAAAAGGGATACAGTCCTCTTAAATGTCTATTACAAGCTTCATTCTTTTTCCTTATTTCCTTATTTCTTTCCTTCTTTCCTTTCCTTAAACAATCTTTCGTACATTGCCTCCGAAAGGCCAAGCCTTGACGACGGGATTATTCTGAGAGAGGGAATTATGAAAATCGAACTTAACAAGGTAAATAAACGCGGTGGAGGAGCGAAAACGAGAAGCTCAAGGTCCAGCGGTTTCTCCCACCGTTTCCTTCAGTCCAAGCCACTTGTTTTGGCGGCCCTGCCGTGCAACTCTTCGATGTGTACCCATATACGCCATCCACGCAGCCATACACTTGCTTTTGTCAAGGGGAAAGAATAGCATACAACCCCCTAACATAGTGAGCTCCAGCTGAAGCAGCTCTCACGGGTGAGGTGAAACTTTTTAGGAGTGAAAAATATTGAAGAGTGTTTATTTAGGCTCTGACTAGGCTGGAATAAAGGAAAATCAAGTCAGTTCCTATTCCGGTATGTAATAATAATAAAAATAATAGCGATGGTTTAATGACGACTTTTCTGCAGAGTAGCTCTACGTTCGTCGTGAGCTAAATATGTTACTAACAAACAATAATGATAAAAAAGAAAAGAATTAGATGTATGTGCAAATAGAAATATACTCATATTAAAACAGTAAATATGTACATACAACAAAAATTTGCAGTACACTTTTGTACTCGTTGTAATTTCATTGGAAGATATTGAGGTAATAMGGGATACGTCACTATGTCATTGTAATCGAGCTTTGAGAGTATCATCGATTCAGCTAACTGCTTTTTTGTGCTGCAGACGCCAGATTTTTTAATTTCTTGATAATTGATGAGGCTGCAAAACACGAAGACACGGTTTTTGCTATGTGATCTGTCCACTTTAAGTTTTCTTGTACCCACATACCGAGAAATTTGAACGATTGTACTCTTTCAAGAACTTCACCGTTGGCTTTAATCTCGGATGTTTGGTAGTCCAGCTTGTGTTGCGTTGACATCTGATCTGTGGTGATTATCATTTGCTTGGTCTTTTTCCCACTCAACAATAAGTTTAAGTTACTTGACCAGGCCTCAAAGGTACGGCATTGCGTTGTTTAACTCCGCCGTAGTTGCGTCAAGTTTTGAAGGGACGCAGTGGGTAATAAGAATTTTTAGAATATTTGACAAATATTCCACGAGCGCGCGTTGGATATGAGATGATAGAAAGCCAACGAGGCGCGTAGCGCCAAGTTGGCCATAATCATCTCATATCCAACAAGCGCGAGTGGAATAATTGTTTTATNTTAACTTAATTAATTCTAGAATATGATTGGGCGTATATGATTGGGCGCAAGCCTTATACGTGATCAGAAGAATCTTAAATAAAATACGTTGACGAATGGGCAGCCAGTGAAGTTTAAAAAGTAATGGAGTAACGTGGCAATATTTACTAGCCATGAATACAAACCTTGCCGCTGCATTTTGCACTCTTTGTAACTTATTGATCTGATAGTCTGGCAGCCCAAAATATAAACTATTGCAGTAGAGTCGATACGACTATAAATTAATGCATGAATTAAAATTTCAATCGATTCTTGTGTCAACTGATATTTCCTTATTCTACGTAAATTATATAGGTGATAAAAAGCTGTACTACAGGTTTTATTTGCGTGAGTGTTCATTGTTAGTGATGGGTCTAGCCACACCCCTAGGTTCTTAACTACTTTACTTGGTGTAATCTGGTCGTTTCTTACACTGAGGTGCGTAGTTTTTACTTTGGCCAGTTGTTGTTTTGTGCCAATGAGTATCAGCTCAGTTTTATCAGAATTCAATTTAAGTTTGACATCTTTCATCCAATTGTGGATATCATTAATACATTTTTCTATGCATGTTCGCCATGGCTTCAACCTCGCCAGTTTGTTCCTTTGGACTAGAAGACAATAATAAACGTCGTATCATCCGCGTACTGAAATGCGGGGCGATCATGAACTTCATCAAGATTATTTACAAATAAATTGCACAATACTGGGCCCAAAATGGATCCCTGTGGTACACTCCGAGTTTGGTATCAGTGGGCTCAGATGTTTTGTCATTGATTTGTACGAACTGTCGTCTACCATTAACGAAACACAAAACGCATTGTAGAAAGTGGTTAGAAAACTCCATTTTATACAATTTTTCCAAGATCTTGAGATGATCCACCGTGTCGAACACCTTTGAACAATCTGCATATATAGCCATGGTCAGCTCGCCCTTCTTCATCGCTTGGATGAGGTCGTCTCTGAAACGCATCGATAATGAGGTTGTAGAATGTCCTTTCCTATAGCCAGAGACTTTCACCCGATAAACACAAAATCATGACTCCATATGTTATGGAGTCGTGATAAAGTGTTTATCGATGTGTTCTGTCACGCAACGTTCATTCAGCCTGGAAAGCGCAGGAAGGATGGCTCATTGGTCTGTAGTCACCACACTCCTTCGGGTTGTCTACTTTAAGAACAGGAGATATTCTGGATTTTCCACCCAGTGGGGAAAAGTGTTCTGAGTAATACATTGTCCCCCACTACATTCGTTTATGATGTGCGTTAGCGGTCAAGTGATGTATTCTACTGCGAGCTAAGCGTATTTGGCTGGAATAAGGTCAGGACCTGTAGCGCAGTCAGTTCTTATACTGACTTTAGATCTGTCTTTCTTTTTCTCTAAAGGAGACTGGGCGTATTGAGAAGAAGTCGTTACCATAATCTGACAAAGAGGTGATGTAGTTTTTCAGACATTCTCATGAGGATGGATTGGTTCCCAGTATCCTTTGCGTGGTGTTGGAAAAGTGGACGTTCAACTCATGAGGATCATCAGGCTCAGGGCTAGGATTAATTAAGAATACGATGTATCGTGCGCCAAAGCTCCTTTGTTCTCAAAGATGGAACTATTGTTTTTCTTCTTGGTGGTACAATTTTACTTCAAATAATGTAGAGTCAAGAAGTGAATATTTACTGAAGAATGAACAGAGTCACGATTGCTGGAACACCACCCATTATTTTCCTTCTGTGAACTCTCAAACCTAATTTCACCCTTTCTAGCACTAACCACCAAACACTATTTACTTTGACTTACAAAACCCACATTCACAATGAATTTCTCTGCACAATCTCCAATTATTATCCAGCAAAGAGGTGATGGGCATTAGGGGCATAACTGCGATACTACAAAGGAGGGAGGGGTCAAACTATGTCACTCCCAAGGTTGCTACCTGACTGTCATGTCTACATCCTCACTGTTTTCCTAAACATGATACTTTTTTGGAAATACATTGAGTCGTGAATACTATGTAACTCTTAGAATTTGACATATTCTTCATCGGAATTAAGAGGTAGGTTTATTTTTAAAGAAAAAAAATCTCACCAAGGAGGGTAGGGGACACAAGGACCCAGCCCCCCTCCCATTATGCCTTTTGAGAAAGAACAAGGTATTAGCTGGAGGGTTTCAGCTAGATAGAACACTGGATTTTCATATGGAATTTACAAAGGCTGTATAAACACTATAATGTCCAGGTGTTAGAAGTGGCTTATGGAAACAAGTATTAAAGTATCATATTTTTTCCTTCGCCATAAATTGTTTTATGTGTGAATGTGACCTAGAGCACTGCTCGATGGTAGAGGTATCAAGGACAAAGAGATACTCCCCCTTACCCCACCAAATATCAGCCCTTCAAACTCATATAAGGATTCTCCTTTATCAGAATCCTATAAAGTCACTTCAACCCTTGTAGATGAGGGTAGCAAAGGGTTTTTGTGTGGTGTGTGATGGCCCCAAAATTTGCAGCGTGACAAGTGATTGAACCCAAATTATCCATGTGATGGGGGGACCAGACATCACAACCTGATACGTGATTTGTTATTGTACAAGCAGGTGGTGTGTGATTTACACCCCTAACTAATTAGATGAACGCTCTTTGACCTTGAAGGTAGTCTCAATGTCAGCTGTCCTCTCCCGGGCTAACCCATAGGGAAAATTATGATACAAATCACAAGTATGCTCTTGGACTGCCTAGTTTCAAAAAATATGTGGTCTCTATTTGTCCAAAAAAAAGCAACACAACAAGCAAAACCTAATTCATATCAGAATAAAAAAAGGTTGGATGCAATATAATTTTAAATAATACATCTGATAGATTGAAATGTTACAGAAATAGCTATGTGTACCCTACTCCTTTTTATGTGATGCACGATTAGTTAAAAAAATTCTCTGTGATGTGTGAATTAATAGAAAATTTCAGCATTATGTGCAA